TACTTAGTTTAGTTCAGGGGTAGGTTGAATTGTTTTTAGGTTGTGGAACAGGACTTCTGTCTTGGGTCTCCATTGGTGATTGGTCCCTACTGTCAGACATTGTGTCCAGTCCTCTGGAATGTTTGACGGGGGCGGGGGAGCGTGGTGTCTGCCCTCTCTCTCAAAGACAGACCTAACCTTTCGTAGCTTTTATGTAGTATCTGCGTAGAACGATCAGGAATAACGTCACATCAATCTTGCCCAACCCTAAATTTGATTTGACGTCATATTACAAACTACACTCGTTATCAATGATACTGTATATAAAAAAATTTACAGAGTCGATGGACTATTTTTCAGTCTATTGCGCCCTCGAATTGCAAATGGTGACAGAAATTATTAAGCGGGACCGCCTCGGGTAAATTATGCCCGAGGTCGACATGGTAGGTATGCTACCTCTCCGCGGTCGTATAACGATTCCTGATTTATGCCTACCCCCCAAGAGTAGAGTCGGAATAGGGTATCCCTACCTTCTCCCAAATCATTTATTTCTCGCGCGCGAGGTCGTCAGACCAAGACGACCGCAAAAACACTACATTGCCCCATTTTGTAAAGTATGAAGGAGGTGCCCCTAATGGAAACAGTAAAAAGTAGTGAGTTGGGCGCTTCTAGGTGTGTGAGTCATATCGGATGACAACTATCTGCGCGCTTAACCCGGTCCCTGTAAGCGCCCGTGTCGGTCGACACCGCCACCGACGTCGGTACCGGGTCGAATGACATGACACAAACACACACACAACACCACACACACACACACACACACACACACACACACACACCACACACCACACACACACACACACACACACACACACACACAACACACACACGACACACACACACACGACACACACACACCACAAACACACACACACCGCACACACACACCAAAAACGCCCACGATTACAAAACACACAAAATACAATGTTCCTCAAATTATTGACATCAACGATGTGTGTTGCACGTCCAACTAAACTAAAGAGACGCAAAAATCATCTCAACGTCCCATAAAAATAAATTTGAAGAGCAGGGTTTTAACAGGGTTTAATAAAAAAAGGAGGGAACTGTGATAAAAAAATGCTGCTGCACGCAGGAATTCGAACTCGGACGACCTGACAAGCGAGTGTACACTCATCAAACTCGTGAAAAAACTTGGAAAAGTATCAATATCACTGCAGCAGAAAATACCGCTCCCCTACCGAAAGGTAACTTTGCCCGTATACCACGTGGGGTTAATTAACTGTATTTCGACAACTCCCGACCGGCACTGGTAATAGACTTCCAAGACCACGTGACAAAACGGAAAAGTATCGCACGCTCGTTGTACCACCCAAATTACCACGCTCACAAAGGTACCCTTGACCGTAACGACTCTAAGTCTAAACTAGCATCTTCGACAACTCCGTACTCTCCACTATATATATGTCCACTTCAACACCCTGCTGGCCTGGCAACAGGAGTAACCTCCATGTACACAAAAGACACAAACACACGCTAAACATAACGCAAAGGTACCGTTGTCGGATACCACCGTAGAGTCAAACCGCATTTCGACAACTCGTAAATACTCGGCCACTCACAATAATCGTTCGTATAAAACCAACACACCTGAGCTAGCCTGCACGTAACCCACAATGCGGCTGTAACACAAATATACCGCATCCCTACCAAAGGTACCCTTGCCGTATACTTCTTGAGGGGGCTCACTTAATCTGCAGCATCGACAACGTCCCGAAGTCCTGTAAATGTTTTCTCGTTTGTGTGTTTGTTTAAATATATTTGGCCTTTGTTCATGTGATTGACTGATTTACTCAAATAAAAAGGTTGATGAATTATCATCTAATGATTTGTATGATGTTTTATTTATGTTAAAGGTCACTTTGAATGATTTTAACTAATGATAAGTAGTAGAAAAACTAATATTTTAAATTCGGGACGGTCCACATTAATTTCTGGACGGCTTAGATTGTATTTCGGGACGGTTCCGGGAGGATGGTGAAAAAAGTTAGTCGAGAGCCCTGCAGTCCAGCCGTGAAGACATCTACGAGACAGTTTTGAGATTTCTTTAATTGCCGTTGCCATGGCAACACAATGCTCACCATGAAACACGGTTTTCTCATAACTTCAGTGAGAATGCTCCAAACAGCCTAAAACTTCACAGGTTTGTAACGATGCAGCCATCAACGCATCTAAGCGTATTATGGGATGTCATCAAATGCCGTTGGCATGGCAACAGATAATTCGCCATCAAGTAAGTTCCAAAGTTTGCAGTTCAAATATTCTGCTGCTTTTCCAAGCCTTTTTACTTTCTTTTCTTCTTTCATCCCACATTCAAGCCCCCAGTGTTCAGTGTTTCAATCTAAATGTTTCACTTTCTTCTTACACATTACATTTTAGCATAGCAGTTTAGCGTCAGCTTTTCAGCATAAAGCATTCCCACTAGCAATTTCTTCAGGAATTGCATTCTCTAGTGTGTTCTGATATACCCTGACAAGGACACAACAGGATAATACCTCTTCAAATCAGCAGCTCTTATTTTCTTCCTTATTTTTCTTATCTCTAGTTGGCTCTAAAGTATCTTATGGATAAGTCATTAATACAACCACACTTCCCAGAATCAGAAACGTCCCTTAAAATAGACGTTTTTCCATTTGGCTGTTTAATGCAGCTTTGCAGAGCTTCCTTTTTAAAGCATGTATACAAATTGGAAATGCTGACTCACCTAGCATGACTGCATCCACAGCCCCACCTCCACAGAACTCAATGAGGATCTGCCAAAGAAGGGAAAAACGCAACAGAGTCAATGTGTTTTTCAACACTTGCAACAGGAATATATACACGTACAAATCAAAGCATTTATTGATCTTTATTTTGAGATTGACCTATGCAACAAAATGTTTACACAGAGGCGCGTGGAGGCAATTCGGGAGGCATTAATGCTCTGGCTGCACCCGGTGGCCTGGCAGATGTAGAAGGTCTGGAAGGTTCTCAAAGTCAGAGAAAAATGCTCAGCACCATGTCTTTAGACTGCTGGATATGAATTGTATACATAGGGGACAACAACTTCTCATTATGTAGCCTTACATCCACCCAGCTTGCGAGGATGAATCGCTCTGAGCCCTTAAAGGCATTTAGGAGCTTTCAGTACGGCTGTTGCTCTAAGAGGATTGGCCCAGTTGGGGCCACATTGTAAAGGAGGTTTCACACAGCTGCTAGGTAGCTAGCTATATTGCCGGACCTCATGCTTATACCGTGAATAGGATTAAAGTTTGTATGGATTTCAGGCAGGGGGTGAGTATGATTAAGGTAAAGCATCTGGGGCAGAGGGTCTCCATAAAGCTTGAAGCTGGACATATAGAACGATGCTGACTTTGACAGTGACATTGAACTGGGAAAATGTTGGCCAAAAGTCAAACTTTATGAAGAGGAAGTAAAGCTGCAATCCTGCAGTTTTGCAACAATTGAGAAAGTGCTTATGGTTGAGACGTGGCTTAAGGACCTAGCTTATGTTTCAGGGATCATTTAAATTGATAAATAATTTAAGACTCTGATTCCTAAACATAAATACTCCTCACTTTACACAGAGGTTCAATGGCATTCCATTATTTGAGTTGAGCTTTTCAAGACTGCTCTACTTACAAACACAAAGCCCTCACAAGACATACAATGGCTGGAGTCTCAGAACACAGTCTAGGCTATTCAACACGCACACCCTTCTAGTGTTCCTCAGTAGGCGTGCTGTTGTTTTAACGGCTCCGCTGTTGTACAATGGCCCTCACAGTGGTTTATCAGAGTGGCAGCAAGCGAAGAGGAACCAGGGGCCAGGGCTGTGGCTTCCTCTCCCACTTGTTTATTTGACACACACAAATACATGGAGAAGTGTGCACCCACATGCTTTCTAATCCATTCATGTGGCAGACAGAGGGAGGATGTGAGAATGAATATAATCTAACCTGAAGGATTTAAGGGTTTATGGGAGAAAATGAAACACCACAACCATATATTGATATTGTAGCAAAAGGGAAATAAGGGTCAATAGGTGAAACAATTTAGTGAAAGTAAGTCACCTCCCATGCTGTGGGATAATGTGGAATAGAGCCTTTCATCTCCAGGATGAAATGTCATGGACACTCTCCTCTTTGCACGAACAGGTGCCCACACAGGCCCAGATCAAAATCAACAGACAGTTTCTAACAGGCTGAGGCCATTGTTCAGAGGACAATGGGGAGGAAAGGGGCTGAGCGCTCAATAAAATGCACTGACATTAAATACGTTTGACCTGACTGTCTTTTTAGGTGATTATGTATAAAGTGGTGCAGCAAAGACGGTTTTTTTTTGTTTGTTTTTCGGGCCGACCGAGTTAGCATATCAGGGGCTTCCTCGACTTAAAGCAATGTCTCCATTGGATTTTGGAATATTGCAGAAAATATAATAATATTATTAACACATTTTGTTCAGCAGGATTATCCACATATTAACACAACTTTTATATTAGTAGAAACGTAAATGCATAAATGCTATTAAGATAAGTAAAAGCTTCAGACAACCAACAGTGGGGTATTTACTGATATATGTACTAACTCAATTCCAAGTTTAGGACTCATACCTGAACCACTCTATTGACTTACACAAGCATTTACAATGTGTTATTTGGTTGCAGCCTGTGATCCACTGACTTTGTTCCTCACACACACAGTTCATCTATTCATAAACACTTCCCTTGTATTTAGGTTCTGCGTAATAAATATCTACTGACACAGGTTATATTAGTACTGTGTTGAAAGGAATAGACACATTTATTATGGCCAAATATAGCTCATATAAAAAGTGGATGGGTTATGACCTGGTTTTGCTGTTTTGCTGCTCATGTGCACTTTGGCCTTATGACTATTTGATAAGAATACTATAGTACGGAAGTTGCATTTACTTTAAATCTTACTATAGATAAAAGTACAATTACGCAATGTAAAAGGCATTGATATAATTGAGAGGGCCCATTCTCCGCACATGCCGCGTTATTATAACAAAATGTACATAAAATACTTAATAAAACAGTATTTATTCCGTGATTTTCAGTATTAGCACTTGATTTTGTACGAGTTTAGCGCACCCTAAGCATCAGGGCTTATGCATTTTTCGGATACTCAATCATACATCAAGATTGGACTCATTTGTATCTCAGAAGGGAGCTTGGCTCAATCAAAATGCAGCATTAGGTCAACATATTCCCCTCCTTCGGTGGTAATTCAGGGGAAACACTGAGGACATTTTCCCTTCCTCTACTTACCCAGAGTTTGCTCTCAAAATAGAAAGCGTCGAGCAGTTGGACGATGTTTTCGTGATCGCAGGAGGCCAGGATGTCGATCTCAACCATGTAGTCCTCCAACTCCTCCTCCGTTTTTGTGTCAATAACTTTGGCTGCGGCTAGAATTCCCGTCTGTTTGTTCTGAGCCTGTCAGATGAGAATGTTATTAGACCGTTGTACGGACGGGTGAGTCATGCAGTTATCCGAGTCACTGTCAGAAAATGTGTGATTGTTCTCATTTCCTGCACACTCTATGTTAAAGTCTCATGAGGCCAAACTTACTTCATATTATTTGACTGCAAGCCGTCTTGAGCTCATTATTGCAACAGACATCTCCCATAACCATTAAGTGGATGTAAAAACATTAAAACAACATTTGAAAAGGTCCCAAAAAAAGGTTTTTGTGCATGTAAATGGTCTGCAAATCCTAAAATCACTCAGTTCCCTGCAGAGGGAATTTCTCTCACACACACTCCCCCCCGCTTGACACGTCTAGATGGAGTCCTTTGTTTACTTCCTAGCATCGTGACATCACTATGTAAAATTTGCGCCGCTATTGGACAGCGCTCCAACCAGCGTTTCCGCCAGGGGGGCGTCTTGCCGCCATCGACGGCAAGAAAAATGTATAATTCGAGAGAAGTCCGAGTTTTTATCGCTTGACGGAGCGGCGAAACTGAGGCTCCGTGGTAAACTGTGGTAACATGAGGAGCCGTTTAAGAGCCGGCTCTTCTTAGGGAGCCTTCCCTGCCCCCTGAAGAAGAAGTGATCCTTCGTTATCGTGAAGAGTCTGCTTTATGCGCTCCGCAGTAGCCCCGCTGCGAGGCTCCGGCGAGTTCACAGTTCATGAGCGTGCTCCACTAGTCTAGCACCCGGCCCCAACAACTTCAAAATGCTGGCTAAGCCCCGGATCTCATACAATCCTAAATCCGCCTCTGCTAAGGGGCGGGACATTTCAACACATCTCTCACTAGATTCCACCGGGTCCGTCTGCGGCTCGTTACGGCTGCGCCGCGGTGCTCACGGCGATCGCGGCCACTCTAGTCAATGGGTGCTATTCCACCACACGCGGCGCGTTACGGCTCAGAAGCGTCCCAGAAGCGCCTCGGCGCAGGGCTCCTCTAAAATTAGGATTTTGGATTTTTTAGGAATCCTATTTTTGATGCGGCGCAGACGTAACGTAACCCCTAGATTCCACCAGGTCCGTCTGCGGCGCGTTACGGCAGCGCCGCGGTTTGGTCCGGCCTCCTCCGGCATCATACCCTACCGGGCGCGTTTCAGAAGCATTTCAGAAGCGAGCGCCTTGCCCGCCGGCTCGCAGTTTTTGTTGATTTGGGCATATTTCCTGGACAGGCTACTTTGTACAGACAAAGTTAATAATAATTGTAATAACCCAGTTATAAACGACATGAATCAAAGATGTGTTGCTGTATTTTAGTGGTAAAAAAATGCATTCATCATCATAATTATTCTATATATATAATTTGTACAGTAAACCGGAGGAGAACGCTGGCATTTCTCCTCCTACTTGAAAGACTACGGAGGGATAGGGTCTGCAAAATTAGTTTGTGTGTGTGTGTATATATATGCTATATGCTCTGACCGTTCTACTTCCTGCCTGCCCGACCTTACGTTACTGCTGCGCCGCGTCAAAAATAGGATTCATCCTAATTTTAGAGGGGCCCTGTGCCGAGGCGCTTCTGGGACTCTTCTGAGCCGTGACGCGCAGCGTGTGGTGGAATAGCACCCATTGACTAGAGTGGCCACGATCGCCGTGAGCACCGCGGCGCAGCCGTAACGGCCCCTACATACGGCGGCGTGCGTTGCCGCTTCAACGCTTCTGCCCATTCACTTTGAATGGGGTGAAGTCACAATTCGCCGAACTTCATTGTGGGAGCAAAGCGGAGCTTCTCTCGCGGTGCTCGCTGCAAAAGTAGAGCAATGTTCTACTTTTGCCGCCTCCACGGAGGCATCAGCCAATCGAATCATATGCCAGTACAAGCTCTAGCCAATCAAACCGCGTGCTTGTGTGTCTGGGGCGGGAGATTCATGTGATTGGTTGTTGGTCGAGTTTCAGCCCCGCC